TTTTTGATTTAGGAAATACTAAAATGTTATTGGTTGTCTTGTTATTGAAGTGATTACATCTTTATTTTGTGTACAAAAACTATCTAATTTTGTTTTATTTGTTCAAAATGTTTTCAATGCAAATTTTTCAAAACGAAATGTAAGTATAAAATGATGAGCTTTCAAATTTTTCTAAAAATAATCGAAAATAATCAAAAATAATCCTTGAATAATCCAATTACTTTTTTGGTTACTTTTGATTATTTTTGATTATTTTCTCGTAATCCTAACTAATCTTAATTATTTTTGGATTATTTGTAATCATAATTAATTAATAATCAGGAATTGTTAAAAAAAGAATTATGTAATCAATACCATTCCTTTTCAAATTTAATCAAATTTAACAGCAATGGTTTCGACTGTGTCTCATGGTTTTCCAAAGCTAAGACTCCGAGATTCTACAGCCTCAGTCTTGCAAAGTCTGAACAAATGAAGAGAAAGTGCATAGGTGTTTCCACTTACTCTCGTTCGTACAACTTTGGCAACCACCGCTCTCCAAGATTATTAGCCTTACCGCATGGATGCCTATTGATCTCTCATATTCTACTTTAGGCCAAAGAGATCTCGTAGTCGCACAAGAGCTGATTTTCAACAAGCGCATGTTAAGCTCAGATGGAATCCATTGGTTCAGTATTGGAACACAAGACGCCAATGAAGGTCCAAATTGGCCTCATTGGGATGTGAACGGAGTAAGGGTGCCCCTCTGGCAATTTCATCGGCGTTGCAGTTGCTAGCGATTCCTCTGTGAGTTTTACGATGAAGTAGCTTGATGCTATTTATAATGAGAACAAACGCTACTTGACTAGCATTAAGCGCACAGTTAGCGAGCTCAGAGCTAGTATTGCCGCTCTAATGTTGGATTGGATGGCCACCTCTCTGAAAGAAGTTGCATTTTGTAACATTACTTCTCACGTTACCGTGCCAGCAGCCATTTCAGTCCGAACAACGCTACAGTGGTGCGGTTGCCTTCTCCTAACGCTCTTCTCAATATTTGTCCTTCAAAAAAGATCTCCCTGATATAGAGAAAGATTAACCGAATTCCTTGGGGCTAGTTAAAGCCATGACACTACATCGTAATAGCAATGTCTATCTGCCTTTCATAGCATGCCTATATCACTTTACAATTTATCCCTCGGTGATCTACTCCCAATGAACATATCTTTTAGTATCTCAAACGTTTTCAAAAAAACGAATATAGGATAATAAACTGAAGTCCTAGGCCTTCGTCGTGGCTTAATCTAATACAGTTCGCAGTAAATGGAGTCTACCAGCTGCATAATAACTTAACCGTCCGCGGCAGTTGATTTGGTATGATACCATCACGGTCCGGGGACTTGAAATCTTTGAATGTGTTCAGATAAGCTCGAAACTCCGCCAGTGGTACTTCTTCAGCGAAACGGTTCAACGGAAAGTAAGCATTGAGAATTAGTTTCAACGCCACCTCGCAGCGCGCAGTCCAATCACTATCCGCATTACTCAGTTAAACCAGTGGAGTACAACTTTTCGTCAAAGTACTTTCAAGAGTAGTTTTACAAACAGAGCAACACCTGGAAGAGCTCATCAACTGCACTCGAGGATAGGGTTGAGCCCTTGTCAGGCGCGATTAAAAAAGCTGATCGAAGCTCCTTTCTATAAGTTCCGCACTCCAATCGCACCACGCCCAAGCTAAAACTAATGTATTCATGATCAGAGAAGGAGTGGTCGTGTACAATCGTTTGATCGTTTGATACGATCAAGCAGATTTACTCAGATGTTGCTTTAGCAAGAAGTGGTGCGTTTCGATGACACCAGGGCTTTTTGAAGGGCCGGGAAGAGATCGCTGATGAAGACCGTGCTGTGAGACCTGCGCCTTCGACAAACACCGACAAAGTGAGTTTTGAACTCAGGCTGTCAACTAAGTATTCGTTTAATTGCCCAGATGTTAAGTTTATCAAAATATTATATGTGGATCATAACATTGTGACGGAGCACTTGAACAGTCGCAAGGTGTGCGCGAAGATGACCCCAAAAGTGGAAGTGTGCCTAGAAAATATGAACATGTGTGAAAGTTACCCCCAATTCTTGAATAACGTAATCACAGGTACCGATCATGGATCTTTGAGTATGATCCCGAGACTAATAGCCAATCTTCCGAGCACTTTGAGACGACGGAGGGGATCCAAGCAGAATGCACCTCTGCTCTCAAGGCTATTCCGGAGAATGCCTTCAATGACGACTTTAATGCTTGAAAATCGCATTGTCAGCGCTGCATCAACTTTTGAAAGAATTGTATCCTATTACTTTCCGGACAAATCCTGTATTATCTGATTTTACCCATTTTCACATTGTATCAGAAAGCAAGACGGTCTTCTCAGCAAATTTTGTTGAGTTAGCGTGATTGATTTTGAATATATATACATTTAACCCTTTAGAGAGCAAGGCAATACATACTTTTTCAATGTTTTTGTTTAATTTAGTACTTAGTTATGGCACTTTATAGGTTTTCCTTAACGGTGTTTTGTAGGCGTGGCAGTGGTCTGATTACGCTCACTTACGATTTGCGAATACTAATATAAACAGTCGAACATATAAACAGATCTATCGGCAATAACCTTTCATAAATTATTTAGTTTCGACATCCGATAATTGCGTACGTCATTCAATGCTTTTCAGTTTTCGTTGATAATAACGATGGTTATTTCACATAGTTTTGCTATGTTATGATAGGTTACAATAGCTTCTTGAATGTTTCTATTTAATCAGAGATTTATAAGTCAATAAGATTATTGCTTATAATTTATAGGGAGTACTCCCACCAAAACCGTAACTTATTCCGAATTTATAACCGGCCTAAAATATTTATATAAAAAGGGAACCAGTAACTGTGAAATTATCAGTAACTCTTCAGAGTCACAACATGAARTTCCTAGTAGTTTTCACTTTGCTCTTGGCTTCTGCCTACGCTTCACCAGTACTCTTCCAACGCCAATTGGAAGTTCCAGTGTTGGCTGATGAACTCGAAGGACGCATTACCAATGGCCAAATCGCCTCCGCCGGTCAGTTCCCGTATCAAGTTGGACTTTCATTGAGAGTGAGCGCTCTCTCATCTGCATGGTGTGGTGGTTCCTTGATTGGCAGCCAATGGGTCCTTACCGCTGCTCACTGCACTGACGGGTTAGTTAAAAAAAATTCTTTGTTTTTGTTCTTTCATTTATTTATAGTTTCTTTGTAGTATTCCATCCGTGATTGTCTACTTGGGTGCTACCGTTCGCACATCGCCCGAAGTACAAATCACCGTAAGCAGCAGCAACATTATCATCCACTCAGGCTGGAACCGCAACACTCTGAAGAATGACATTTCTCTCATTAAAATCCCAGCTGTTTCCTACTCCAGCAGAATACAACCCGTCAGATTGCCCGCCATCTCTAGCTCTTACTCCAACTATGTCGGTGCAACAGCTGTTGCCTCCGGTTGGGGAAAAATCAGCGATTCATCTTCCGGTGCGACCACTAATTTGCAATACGCTTACGTGCCAGTGGCTTTCTCTTATACACATCTAGATGTGTATAAGAGACAGGTTTATGGATCTTCGATTGTGACTCCGTCTAACATTTGCATTTCGACCCCCGGTGGAGTTTCCACTTGCAATGGTGACTCTGGTGGCCCATTGGTCGACACCTCTTCAGGCGTACAGATCGGTTTGACTTCATTCGGTGCTAAAGCCGGCTGCGCTAAAGGATACCCAGCTGCCTTCACCCGTGTGACCAGCTACTTGGACTGGATTAAGAGCAACACCGGCATTTCTGCTTAAGTTTTGTATCGAATCGATTTGGTTATGCATTAAATATAGTTGAAGAATTAAATCCCATGTGTTTTTTTATCTGATCATATTCTATGAAACTAAGTAAGTAATCTGGTGTATATAATAGGCATTTCTGCCAAATGATTAACATGGTATTCCGTCTTTGTTACGGGAAATCTAAACAAGTAAAAACGGATTAGCTCGGATGAAATATTATATTAAAACAGTAAAAAGCCGTCAATTTGCACGACCGAGGCGGCCAAAGGACTGGATCATTTCGTGAGATAACACATTGACTAAACTTGGTTTTCAATTAATCGATTGTGACATTCGCTGTGTGGTTTATAGCGTGCGTAAACAGCGCTAACCTTTAATTTTTCGAGATGCAGTGAGCATTGCCTGGAGTACGTACGAATGCACTTTTACAGGAATAAAGAAACTCATTAATATGCCAAACCATTTTTGTTTTATTTAAAAAGACTTTTGCAGTGGTTTTATTGATAACACCGCTTTTAAAGTTGTGCCCACTGACTCCGGATTTCGGTAGTAAATTTTAATAATTTCGAAATTGTTAGATCGTATATACTTCCTGATGAAATGGCGAAACTTGAAGTGAAGAAAAGTGTCGGAAGAGCGGAACAAATATTACATAATTTCCTGTCTCTATTGATCTACTTTTCTAGTGTTCTTTTGAAAACACCTTCTATTAGCGCTTGGTTTGTATACTGTAAAGTGAAAAAAACAGATGGAATTTAAAATGTGTATATATAGGGGAAGTAGGCAAGGTTGTATTCCGGTATTGGTCAGTTTTGACACCGGCTTCTATGAAACCGTTCTGTGTCCAACTTAAGTGCGACTCAACCCTTTCACCAAGATACTATTTCACGGAAGTACGAGAAGGCTTATACATGGTGCGCCATATTTTATGACGGTATCTAAACTTTGAACACGTAGTTAGCTATGAATGCAGCCTTTCCGGGCTCAACAACCGTTGGTATAGATTGAGTTAGAATTTTCTTCGCCCACCAAAACACTTCTCCATTCACGTGTAGTCGATATCTTATCGGTAAAGACTTTCGACTTTACATATCCTCACAGAAAACAGTCTAACGACTGATATTACACAATCTTTTTGGCCAATCGATCAGCCCAAAGCGAGAAATTATCTGCTTACCAAAGCGTTCTCTCAATAAATCCATTGATTCATACTATGAGTGGGCTGTGGTGCAATCTTGTTAAAACCAGATGCCCCTGAGATCACGAACTTCAATTACACTCATAAAATAGTCGGTTATCATGGCATGTTAACGGTCGCCATTAACGATTACGTTCTCATCGACATAATTTTTTAAGAAATATGGACTGACAATTCCTGGATGATGAAATGACAATGGATCTGGATGAAATGACAGCTCTTGAATCTCTTCACGCTGCTCTTTGTTCCAATGGCGGCAATTTTGCTTGTTTACATACCCCAACATTTCTGGGATCTTCATGGAACTTTTGAAAAGGCAATGTATGGAAGCGATGTCGCTTGAAAAGGTCGAGCGGCTTCAGTTCTTGCACCAGCTGTCTTTTGTGCGCTTTCAATTTAAGATCTCGAAGTAAAATGCGCTAAGTCGTTCCACACATCAGTCCGAGTTGCTGCGAACGGCACCGAATAGCGCCGTAATCTGTAAGAAAAATGTTATTGAAAAGAGTAGCTCTACTTGGAATCCCTGTTATTATTATAAAGGAGTTGGAATCGACCAATTGGCAAATTTCTCTCCTCCGCAATGTCAACCTCTTCAGAGTGTCAAGTAGGCACGTATACCATATACACAAAAAAAAATAATAACATTGAAATACATTGAATACTTATCTATAAATATTGGCTTACTTTTAAAAGATTTATGGTGTAGCATACGTCATGCAGTTCTCAAATATTTCACTATAAACAAAAATTGACAAGTCAATGGGTTTATGGCCATAATTTATAAGGTGCATATTTAAATACGTACACACGCGCATCTAACGTACACTCTTTAACTCGAAATAACCAATCACAATTAATTGTCACACTTAAAGCTCCTAAATTATACAGATTACAACGTCTTCCAGAACTCCTATAAAAACAAGTAGCAGTAACTGTGAAATTATCAGTAACTCTTCAGAGTCACAACATGAAGTTCCTAGTAGTTTTCACTTTGCTCTTGGCTTCTGCCTACGCTTCACCA